CTCAGAGCCCGAACGAACTTGAGCAGGCAGTGAGACACCCGTGGCACACACACATCTCGGGGTGCACGCTAGGAAGAAGCAATGCAGGCTGCAAGCAGCGAGGAATGTGGGATCCGCAGTGAATTTCAATGGACGCACGCAGGGGGCCTGCAGTTCCTCACAGAAGCAGCCCTCCGCCGCACAGAATTCCCGAGGTGGGCCGCCTTAATTCAGTATGACAGCTCTGTGGCAATAAAGCGGCATCCTAAAATTAAAACATGCACAATGCACCTTCCATGCTGGGCATGAAAAATGGTACAGTGCCAAATGCTACCCAAACGCGGTCCCTGGAGAGTCCTGCACTTCTCTGAGCGGGCCACCGAGGGAGGCTTTGGCTATCGGCCGCATCAGAGGGCACAGGAGGCCCTGGGCTTTCCTCTGCAGTGCTCCACTCCTACCGGACCCAGGCAGGCTTGGCTTTAGCCTAGGCAAGAGCTCTCAAATATTTCGCTCTAAAAGGTTATCTAAGTGCGTCGACAACACCCAGCTTCTGATGGCTTCTGTTACGACTTGAGTTTTACAAGGCTGGGAAAGAAACAAACTAGCATGCTCAGTCACACAAAACTGTGGCTGCTTGTGATAAACAAGAAAAGCAGTTTAATCCAGGAGAGGGGACCACACCTGTAATCCCAGCACCTCGCAGGGCTCAGGCAGCAAGAGCATGAGTTCAAACCCACACCACTTAGCAAGATTATCAAGGTAATCTTGAAACATTGAGAGATCTGAGGATGTAGCCAAATGTGAAAGCCCTGAGTTTGATCCCCAGGACTGGGTGAAAAAAGAAAAGGGAAGTGAGGAGGAAAGGAACTGCAATCTCAAGTACTGGGGTATGACATTAAATCAAACTTCTGGGCGTGTCCAGGGCCATATGTGGTATTTCCCTTCTCCCCTTGGACAAAGACATCAAAGCACAGCTTGCAGAAGAGAACAGAGCTGGGTGCAAAGTGACATTCAGTACCTCTGTGCCACAGGTAAGCCTGTCATCTCCATAAAGGGAGGTGGCCAAGGCCTGCATATGTGCTGGCCCTTCTGTCACCTGTGCCACTGTCACATAGCCAGCTGTACTCACCGGCTGTGACGATGGAAGAAGAGACTCATGGGGGCCACTTTGAGGATCTGTAGAGGGAAGCATGTTGACAGAGGAAAGCCTTGGACATTGGAAAGAGAGAGAAGGACAGGGACTGAATTCCTGGTGGCACAAAACCACGTAACCCTTGTGCAACCTTGAGCAACTGAGGTTAAAGTCTGTCAGCTGCACAGGATTCCTGGAAAGACTAGCTGAGAGGACCCAAGTGGCTCCATCCAGTTCTCAGGGCAGCCTGGCTGCCCTCCTTGCGCTAGGTGTGAATCTATTACCATAAACATTAATTAAATGTCAAAGAGCAGAAACAATGTTTAGGGAAGATTAGTTGCAGGATTTAATTAGTTACAGGGCTTCTTCTTGATAGAAGACGGTAAACTCCTAGACCAAGCCGGAGCATCAGATAAATATATACCTAAGATAAATCCCACTGTTCTTCCTTCAGAAAACACAATTTCTAATTATATGACAGCATGGTAAGAACAAACCGTACTGCCCATGAGGACTCCCTTCATAATAAGCCCTATAATCCTTACACAGTATTCGCATGATAAGGAGCCTGCCAAGAGCAGTTGTCATTACCGCCATGATGAACTCTTTGTTTGGGGGATATTTTTGTTTGTTTTTAGAGGAGACCATAGGGTCTTGCTATTTAGTTTGGGCTGACCTTGAACTCACTATGGAACCTGGGCTGGCCTCCAGTTTGTGGCAATCTCCCTGCCTCAGCCTCCACAGTGCTGGGATTACAGGCATATGCTACCATGCCTAGCCACAGTGAACTCTTGGTGAGATCCTCCAGCAGAAAGCTTACACTGGATTTCAGATTTGTTTTTTAAAATGGTGGCACTCATCCATGACGTTGAGGAGCCAACAGCATACGCTACTTGGCTGCCATGGAGCCTCCCATTCTTGCATTCATTCAACATTCTCATTGAGCACCTCTTAGCTGCCAGAGTTTCCACTAAGACCCCAAAACAAAACAATAAAACATGTAGGGAGTAGCTGAGCATGTGGCACTTGTGTGTAGCCCCAGTACTCTGGGAGACTGAGGCAGGAACATCACAAGCTTGAGCCCACACTGTGTAACTCAGTGACTTTGTGAGACTCTGTCTCATAATAAAAAGTCCTGGGATGTGCTCAGTGTGAAGATCCCAGTATCAAAAATCAAATAAACAAACAAGAATTATGTGTGCACCAACATACCTAGAAAGAAGTGGGGAACGACAAAAATTATGCAAGCACTTGTAACACAGACATGCGCTACATCAAAGGATAACACAAAGGAGGCAGGAATTCATGCTGAGCAATTAGAAGACTGTCACTTCCCTGGGCAGACAGATAGGGTCAAGGATACTAAGCTTCAGCACAAAAGGAACAACAGGAGATCTTTAGAAGGTAAATGCATGCTTCTACAGAAATTGGGAGAAGAAATATACAGTCAGAAAAAGACTAGAGTAGGCAATGAAAGACGCTGAGACCCTGAGGCTGTCTAGCCTCCACCCGGAGCTAGTCTCCCTGTGCTCTGCGTCATAGTACCAGTTACCACATGCAGAATTCTATTGTGCAGCTGTGTTCCCAGCATCTCGTAAATCATTGCTCAGGCTTTGGAGGAAATGGCCTGAATTTACGTCATGAAGTGACTATGAGAAGGCGTCAGAGGACAGAGGAAGGCTGGGCGTTGTCTGAGATTGAACCTAAGGAATTTAATTCACAAAACTGAGCCCCATCACCACAGCCTGACTGTCTTGGCCACAGGACACTGTGGTATGAATGGAAGGAGAGCTCTCTGGCTGTGCTAGAGCAGTAAACTCCTTCTCATTGAATCATTATTCGCAAAGATGCCAAAAAGTCAGAGTGCTGATATAAATAGATTCCAAGTGAATGCTGGAAATAAAAAGCTAAAGTAGGCAATCAGGAGGTCAGGACTTTAGGTAGAGACCTTTCCCTTACAGAAAGGATCTCTGAGGTCTGAGGGGGTAGGCGAACAACTCAGCGAACTTAGTAGCTCATGTGTGGCAGTAATAGTCAATACTTACACAGAAGGTTTACTTCATACCAAGAATTAAGTATTTCCGTGTACAAACTAACAATGACCTCATGCGACAGACAGTAGTGCTACTTAACAGCTGAGGAAACTGAGGCAGGGAGGGGGCAGCGCTGCCGATCAGAGGGTTTGTAAATTCAAACCCAGGCAGAGGAGGGCGAGTGCTCAGGCACTGCTTCATTCTCCCAGCTTCATTTCAGAGCACCCTCAGGAAGTACACAGGACACAGAGCCTGCCTCAGCTTACACCCCAGAGTCACCTGCCCTTCTCTGGCCTGTGAACATGGACATTTAGGGATGAATGGAAGGACAGCACAGTACAATGAGCACAGCAGAGGGGACCCCATAACCTGCTTGCTCACGGCAGTCTCTCTCACCTAGTACCACCAGGGTACACACACTGACACCTGTGAGCTCTAATCTAGTTGATAAATTGCATACTCAGGTCCAAGGGTAATAAATTATGCTCTGAAGTTTGCTGGGCCGTCATTCAAAGCCCTGCTGAGCCATCTACTTGGTGTGGGGGTGGACAGTAGTGACTGCCTGAATAAGTCTCAGTGTTTTAACTGCAGATACGAGTGACCAGCCTCCAGGGCATCATCAGGGGACTTAGAGGAGTCCATGCCCAGGTGGACTAAATCACACTCCCACGGTGCCTAGAGAATAGTCGGGTTCCATGAGATTCAGCTTTTACCACCATTAGATTAAATGTTCGGTCTAATTGGCAATGCTGCAGCCCCGCCAGGGTAGAGTCTGCAAAGCTGCTGTGAATCAAGAGCCAACACGAACCGGCAAGCAAATCTCTGCTTCTACAGACTGTGCATTCTGATACTAGTTTATAATCCCGCAGCCAGTCGAAGTAGGATGCAACTCCCATCTTCTTTCAAGAGGGTTCGTCCACTGCTTCCCGGGCTTCCCCAAAGGCTCACTGTGGTGCTGCCCTGCATGGGCACAGTGCATTTCAGCCGCACAGGGAGCACCCTGTGGGTTTCCAAGCTCTTTGAGCTCCTTTAGAGCCTCTGGAGCCATCTTGGCTCCCCAGTTGCAACTTCCGGATCTGCAAACAAGAGCCACTGGCTGATGCACCCTCGCGGGTTCCAGCCCTGACTCGGCTGCTCAAGGAGAGCGTGCCCTCAGGAGCCAGGTGTGACCGCGGGTGTGGAGCCTGGACACAGCCTCCAACCTTCCTTGGGCATCAGTCTCCACGGAAGACAGAATCTTGGACCTTCGGCTCATACCCCACTTCGTGAAGCTCAAAAAACTCACGCAGCTGGATGGTTCACACACTGGACACACCAGCAACCTGCATCTCATTCTCATGGTTTTTAAATGCATACCGGGGTTAAATCCAGCGGGAAGAGCAGTCAGGGGAGAGGTTGGCGCTCTCTTGCTCTGGAGTGGGCCTTCTGAAAAGATTTCATGTGCAGGAGAAAGCGAATTCGCTTTCTCTTTTGAAAACTTCTAGAAAGCAAATATCTACTTCCAAAAGGAACCCAAATGACACACTCGCCGGCCAGCACGTTCTTCATGGCCACCCGCCCTCTTCTTCTCCGGGCACATGCCACGGCTTTAATCGCATGTAACAAGCCCTGGGAAGCTGAGGCGGGAGCCCAGAGAAGGCCGTGCAGGGCAGGCTGGCTCTGGGCGCCACAAGCCCTGGAAAGCAGCAAACTTAGGCTGCGGAGAGACAGCCACTGCTGCTGCGGAGAGACAGCCACTGCTGCTGCGTCCACAGGGGAGGCGTGGGTGGAGAAAAACAGCTTAGAGACAAAGAGTGATGGAGAGCAGAGCCCAGAGCCTCCCAACAGCTGTGGAATCCCCGGTGGGGGAGGGTTACCTCTATTGAACTCCGACCTCCTGCTGGCTGAGGGCAGCGTCCTGTTGAGCCCAAGGATCCTGTCCAGGTGGAAGGCAAACACCTCGCTCATGTCCAAAGGCTGCTTGAGCAGGGCGCAGGGACTGGGGCCGCAGCGGGGCGGGGTGCCTGGCTCGAGATCTCCCAGAACCAGCAGGTGCGCCCCGCGGGGCGCCTGGGACTCGGGCTGCAGGGACCCAGCCGCGTCCGCTAGCAGGCGCAGGCTGCGGAGGTCATCGCCACTCAGCCACGATGGCGGGCGCGCGCTGTAGAGCCTGATGTTGCCTTCTCCGGCCGGGGGCAGCTGGACGAGTCTTGGACGGGGTCCTCCGCGCCCGGTGCCCTGCTGCCCAGCCTGGCCCAGGCGTCCTCCCTGCACCTCAGCTTGAGGCGGAGGTGTTCCCATGCGCACCCCAAAGCCAGCGCCCACCGAGGCGGCCGCGGGCTTCTTCCTGCGCTTGGGCCGCACGGTGCCGCGGATGTGCGCCGGCTTGCCTCGCCGGGCGCGCAGGGTGATGTACACCACGTTGGGCTGCAAGGCGGTCCCGGTGCCCGCGGAGTCCGGGGCAGCCAGGGTGCCGTCCAGCGGGATCTCGGGGAAGGGGCCCCGCGCTGGGTCGCGGCCCAGGCGGGGGCCTCTGGAGGGGGACTGTGCATGCAGCTGGGACGCGCGTCCCACCTGGCTGACCAGGAAGCCCAGGTAGAGCGCGCAGGCTGTGCCCAGCAGCAGGTTCCTGCGGGTTCGGGGCCGCCGGCCGCCCCAGAGCGCGCGCACCCACGGGGCGCAGAAGGCACAAGGCCGCCGGCTGCGGGGGCCCCCGGCCTGGCCGGACGCGCGGGTCATAGCTCCCTTGAGGCTGCATGGAAGGTTCCGAGTGGCCCGGGACCCGGAGAGCGGCGCATGGCGGCCGAGTGCGGCGAGTGGCGGTGCGGGGTCTGGCCGGGTCTTGGCGGGTGGAGGCGCGGAGCTGCCCGGTAACCTCGATCCTCGGCCCAGCGGCCTCCGGGAGCACGAACGGGAGCGCAGCCGACCCTGGGAATGAACCGACACAGAGCGAACTGAGTCACTATCGCAAGCCAGGTCCCAGAGCAGAGGAAAGACAAACACTCCGCTTTCTTCCGTGAATGCCACCTCCGGAAAGGAAAGAGAGGAGAAACGGACGGCAGGACTTTAAAAAAAAATGAAAGCAAGATAGAGGTGCGGATTTGATACTTGTTTAAAGTAGAGTAGTCCTGAAAACACGCCACACAAAAATCCAAGAACATTTTTCAGCATCTCGCTGGAATCTTTTAACTTCATTGTTACGCTCAGCGTTAATATTTGGACCAACTGGGGCTTTTCCTTTTCACAGTTTACAAATAACTTAAGACAGTTAAAAGGTGGTTTTTAAAAATGTCTAGCTATCCCACATCATTTTTTAGAAACTCGTGCATTAATCAAAGGGGCAGAAGCACCACATGTTAAGATTCAAATTCAGAAACACAGCCCGTTAACCCGAGATCACAAATTTATCTTCACAGTGCTTCAGTACTGTACGTGAGCGTTAGTCTGCTACGAAGCCATACATGACCACAGAGCTTGGAGGCGGCGACATCCGTCCGATCACAAACACACTCAGAAAACACACATCCAACTAGTTTTTATTCCTTTTATTTCCCACCAGTCGGCTAAAAAAAGAAAAAGAAAGAAAGAAAGAAAGAAAGAAAAAGAAAGAAAGAAAGAAAGAAAGAAAGAAAGAAAGAAAGAAAGAAAGAAAGAAAAAAAAAGTGGGAAGGATCTCTTCCAGTAGCTCGGTTTTTCCACATTATTAAAACAAAGAGCGAACCCTGAAGCAGCCCCACTTGCACAGCCGGGCGGGAGCTCGCGCGGGGAGGAATGCGCGCGGCCGCTGCCTGCAGCGCCGGGTCTTGCGCAGCCCAGGCGCGGAGGATTTCTGGCTAGGAGTACCCACATTGCTAACATTTCAGCTCAGCCTGAGAAGCACCCTCGAAAGCTGCTGATGCCAAAAGCAGGATAAATACTTGTAAAGTGGCTGCCTTACCGTTTTCAGACATGTAAGACTTTTTAAAAATATGGTTAAAAATAAACTTTAATCTTCAATTCTGAATAACCAAATGCCGTCCAGACTCAGCTTTCATGCAAAGAGCTTTCCACTTATTCTTAACTCCCGGGAGCCCCCTAGTGTCCTATTTGGAAACATACTCAGCTTGGGACGCAGCCCCTGTGGATTGAATGTCTAGAGATCTGAGGGACCCAGGGACCCTGTGCACCCCTTGAGCCCCAGAAGAAGGGCACCTGGCTTCCAAGACCGGCACTCACCTCGCTGCTTGGCCGTCGGCTGAATGTCACTTGGCTCCCACCAATTCTGGGGACAAAAAGGCCTAGAGCTTCAGCGAATGCTAAGAAAAAGTGCTATCGGGAGTGAAGGGGAAAATAGCACTGTTTGTGAGATAAGAGTGTGCAGAGATAGGGACGGCGTGTACGGTGCGAACTCCAAGTGTCCCGTCCTCTCTGATTGGAGGATTTTTAAAGGCGGGTTCGCGATTGGCCCCCGGAGTCTCCGTGTCCTGGCACAAGGGACGGAGCACGACCTCTGGGTCCCCTGCAGGTACACTCTATTTGCTTCTGCCCCCTACAGAGGCAGAAGGCACGCAGGCTCGGAGCACAGAGGGGACAGGGTCTGCCCTCTGTAGGAAAGCAGGCTGTTCCCGGTGTGGGTAGGAAGTCTGGGTATGGTGTGTAATCCTAAAAATGCTACAGTTTGCGAAGAAAAAACTAGAATATGTGTAGAAGGACGGAAATTGCCAAGTATAAAATGCCAAAAATTATAATAGGAATGCTATTTTAGCACTCTTAAACCCAGGCCTGCCTTGCTACTTAAAAGTTAGGCCCACGGAGGAAAATAAAATCACAGTTCCAGCAGGTCCCTGTGGGTGAGGGCTGAAGGTGGAGAGAAATCGGGCAGACAGGCAGTTCATCTTGAGCTCCGGAGCTCCTGAGACTCTCACATCCCTAAGCACAGGATCGTTTCCTAGAGAGTAAGCGTGAGTCTCTTGGAGGAAATCACAGCAGAGCTGCTTTATAATTCTTACAATTTGCACATGCGCAAAGGGATACCTGGCCTGAGTCATTAAAAATGAAAAACTAAAGGCTAGGGGTTGGTAGAAGTTACTTAGTGTGTTCAGCTACAAACATAGAAAAAATATCTTTGGGAAAAGCCAAATTATGTTAAGCAGAAGCCTCCTTCAGTCATTTTTAAGACAACTGTTTTAGTAGAGAAAAACGAACCTAGGAGTTGGATGAAGACTGCAAGCTGGTAAATTTCTCTGTTCCCCCCCCCCAACCACCTCTTTATCAGGAAAAGGCCTGAGCACTGTCTCGCCTTACAGCCACGGTGCAGAGGGAGCACCCAGCCTGGGATGCGAGGGGCAAGCTGGCGTAGAGCCTCCTCCTCGCTTGCTAGGTGTGGTCCCACATGGCAGGTATGATACCAGCCTAGGCCTGTTTCCACACTCTAAGAGAGAAGGGGTAGCCGCAGTCACTGTGACAGGCATCTGGAATGTCCCCTAAAGTGCAGGCACAGAAGGTGGGGTCCCAGGTTAGCAGTGCTGGGATGTGGGGGGCCCCGTGAGAGGAGGTTGGTCCTCGGAAAGGCTTCCCTTCAGCGTTGCTCTGTGCTTACACTTCCGCTCTTCCTCCACCCCTCCCTCCTCCTCCGTCCCCCTCCACACTCTGGCTCCCCAGTTCCTGCCGCTTATTCCTCTGTGTCCGCCATGCACTGTGCATCTCTACCTTTCCATACGCTAGCTGTCCTGGGAAGCTCTGCCTCAGCAAAGGCCCAGAGCCACAAGCCCAAACCATCACCCCCTGCAACTCGTGAAACTCTGAGCTGGAATAAACGTTTGCTCCTTTCAGATGAGGTTCTTGCATGTCTTGGGCAGCAGCACAAAGCTCGCCCCTAAGTTTCTCAGGAGTAATGGAGATGTGGCGACCAGTGACGGTGACTTGGGAGTCAGCAGTATTCTGCTTTCCTCTCTGAATCAGTCACGTTTCTGTTGCTGGGATGCAATTTGTGACACCACAGCTGAAAGACTGGGTGATTTCAGCTCATGGTTCTGGAAGTTCAGTCCATGGTTGGCTGGTCTGAACACAGAAACTGCATGGTAAGGATCCAGGAAAGGAAAGTTGTCGGTTTCGCGGGGCAGGGAAGTGGAGAGACAGAGGCCAGGAGAGGGGTCTGCTCTCCAGATCATGCCCACCCAGGGACCCAGCTCCAGCTAGGTCCTCCCTCTTCTTTCACTACGAACGCAGCTCTGAGCTCATGGAGGAATTACTCCACGGGTCATGGCGCACACCTGCCCAATCAAACCTAGAGCTCTTGGGAGGCTGTAAACAGGCAGATCACTATGAGTCTGATCTAGTAGTGAGACCGTGAACACCATGTAGACCCCCTAAAAAACAAACAAACAAAATTAGGCCCGGGGAGATAGCTCAGTAGAATAAATGCTTGCATGGCAAGTGCAGGGTCCTGAGTTCAATCCCCAGTACTGGAAAAAAAAATCCACGGGTCAGAGAGATGCTCCCATGATCCAGTCACCTTCCAAGAGCTCCACCTCAGAACACAGGAGACTCTTTCAACCCATCTATGTCTAAATTATAACAGTCTCCTTCCCCAGCACACACCTTGCTGAACTTCTTAGGAACCTGTCAGTTCTATCCCACTAAAAAGGAAGGTATAGTAAAAGAGGGAGCCAGTGTGTAGAATTATTGGCATAGCCCATTTATTTATTTGTTTGTTTATTTATTTTTAATATTTTATTTATTTGGTACAAGGTCTTGCTACACAGTTCAGACTCATAGTGACCCTCTGTCTCAGCCTCCCCACCCCTGGGATTACATATGTGCCCCACCATGCTCCATTTCAGTGACCTGAACAGCACAACCTGGGTTGTGGGGCCAGCATGGCATGTGGTTCCAGGGATTGAACCAGGGTCCTTGCACTTGCCAGGCAGGTGCTTAGACCACTGAGCTATTACCCCAACCTGGCATAGTCAATTTATCATTAAACCTAATTCACCAGCTATCTGTAATCAAATACCAATCATCAATCCTTTGATTGCCCAGTCAGACATGGAGCCTAGTAGTTTGTTTAGATATCCATGGTTGAAAATTCAAGCAGACCTTAGGACTTGCTAGTAATACTTAAGATTTTTATGAAAGACCTCAAGTCATTGTGAGTAGTAGACACATGCACACATACACATTCATTTGAATTTCTGTTCAGGTTGAATCATGTCCCTGGGGCAAGGAATGCCGCTCAGTACTTGCTTAGCATAGACACAGCTCTGGGTGCCTGCCCAGCTCCACAAGGTGAAAGGGAATGAAAAAGTCAGGACATACTGAGGAGAGATCCAGAGAGCTTTCTTCTGCAGACCTTCCATTCCTTTATCCCTCACCCACTGATCACCCTACAGTAAGTTAAGTCAGGCTGAAGCTATTTTAGGGTTGACACATATTACAGAGAAAAATAACAACAGCAGAGAAGTTCCTGCTGCTTCTTTGACAGCAATGTGTTGGAGCCACAGAGATGGCTTAGTGGAGTCAACACTTCCCTGGCAAGCGCAAGGGCTTGAGTTCAATCCCTGGTCCCCCCACCACCACCACAAAGAAAGACAGCACTGTGAGTTGACTTTTGAGCCCCCTGGGTGTGGCGAACAGGGCCTTCCAAGGGTTATTTCACAGTGATTTCAAAGTCCCCCCAGGCAGAGCATTTCTCTGAGTGGCTGTCGCTGTTTCCTCCATCTGCTGGACCAGGCTGACCTCTGTTCTGCTGAGTTTACTTCACCTCTAGGAACTGCACATGAATGAGCTGGAGACACACTTAGTGTTCTCTGCCTTGGAGAACGTAGGCTTCCCGAGCAGCAGCCCACGTGGCAGACGTGCCTCTAGCTCCTGCCCACTTCCGGAACCAGACAGGAAGCTCTCTGCTGTGAGCTCGCATGGCACTCAGGACTCTCGCAGTGTTGGTAAGCATGAAGCTCAATTCCTTGAGTGGATGAAATGAAGTTTAAGGTCTTGTTGCCACAATACAGCTTACAATAACCTGCGAATGTACCTACAGAACTCAAAATACTAATCAATGTTATTATACCAGAGATATTAATAATCCACATGCCCTAAATCTTATTTCCAAGGAACCAATATACAACGGAAACAGGTCTGAAAGCACACAGGTAGACAATGGCGCTGCCCATTATAATCACCTGTGGACCTCTTTATACCTCTCCAAGGAGGGAATGAGAGGGAGACTCAGCAGCCCAAGGCCTGGGATTGTGGCAAACCCCAGTTCTTCCTGTAGGTGGCATAGACTAGTGTGTGTGGGGACCTTCCCTGGCTCTGCTGTACATCTTACCTCTGCACATACTTCTGTATACTTCTTATCTCTCAGTAAGGTTGACTGGGACGCTGGATGAACAATGCTTGGGTTTTTTTTTTTTTCCATAATTTTGTTGAGAAACAAATAACAATGAGACAGTATCAAACCAAATTGGTAGGACAGTTTCACTAATTAACACATTGCATACATTCTTCCCAGTGGTTAATTGCTGTACAAGATGTGGACATGATATCCTATTTACAAATGCTATTAGAACAAATCCCTCTATTCATTAAGAGAATGTAACTATATATCTATCCTGACCATTTCGAATACACACATACAAAATGGACATTCATTTGTAGCCCCTTTTTTTGTTAAGTTTCATCATTTGAATATTATAGGTGTGTAAACTCAGCAAAATATTCTAAAAGAGGTCAGTACTCCATAATAGTATTAGGTCTTCCACATCACTAGCAATGTCAGAAATTGTTGACCTGAGTCCCCTACAGCTCAACATAACAGCATGGCTTTCCTTCTTATACTTTGTTTTTATACTTTTCTGCTGGATGATTAAGACCAAGGTAAATCAGGACCTATGCAACAAGAGTTGTAGCTTTTGGGTCTGAGAAGGTCAGTGAAATCCCCTCAGGATTTATCCTGAGATCCT